AACACATCCTTGCTGAATAAAAGTATTCTAAAAGTTTCTTTAAAAAAAAAAAAAACCAAGAAAAGAAATTTACTGACCCCAAACCTTTTTTTTTTTTTTTTTTGGAATAGTTGTGTATATTTAACACAACACAAATTTTTATTTTGAATAAATACTGTTCTTTTAAACTTTTTATTTATCAAAAGAATCCTGAAAAAATATCACAGGTCCCAAAAAATATTAAGCAACAACTGTTTCCAACATTGATTATAAATCAGCATATTAATGATTTCTGAAGGATCATGTGACACTAAAATCTGGAATAATGATGCTGAATATTCAGCTTTGCTTCACAGGAATAAATTATATTTTTAAGTATATTAAAATAGAAAACTGTTTTGTTAAATTGCAATAATAGGCTATTTCACAAAATTACAGTTTTTTTTCTGTATTTTTGATCAAATAAATGCAGGCTTGATGAGCATAAGAACTTCTTTAAAAAACAAAAAAATTTTACTGATCCCAAACTTTTGAACGGCAGTGTACGTGTGTATATATATATATGTATATCCGAAGAACATATATATATATATGTATACGTTGTATACGTTGACTGACAGATGTCTCGTCCAGTCAGCGGTGAGTAATCCCAAACCAATGGCGCTGTCTCAAACTATACCTACCTTTTCCGGTTTGTCTGATTTGTCGTTGTGTTTTCTGACTTGTTATAATGTTTTCTGAGGTTTTTTGTTGTGCTTTCTGAATTGTTATTTTGTTTTCGCATTTGTCATTGTGTTTTCTGACTTGTTATAATGTTTTCTGAGGTTTTTTGTTGTGCTTTCTGAATTGTTATTTTGTTTTCGCATTTGTCATTGTGTTTTCTGACTTGTTATAATGTTTTCTGATGTATTGTTGTGTTTTTTGATTTGTTATTTAGTTTTTTAGATTTGCATTTGCGTTTATAATTTGTAGGGGTGCAACAGATCGTATATGATTCGTGATCCGTGCAGATCAGGCTGCATGGTTTGGCACGCACGTTGTTCGCAGATTAACTGTTAAATTTAACCATCAAAAAGTTCAAGTTTATCATTTGCACATGTTTTGTCTTGCTAGTTTACACATTCAAGTAATTTGAACTAGTAGTTTGCTGTGGTATAGAAGTACTTAAAGTAAGCTTTCACTATTTTTTTTTGCTGATCTGAAAAATGAGCCGATCCGTGAGTTTTGTGATCTGTTGCACCACTAGTAATTTGTTATTTTTTTTCAAGTATCTGTACTTTACTGGAGTAGTTTTATTTTGAGTAACTTTTACTTGTATTCACTACATTCCAAAGCATAAGATCATACTTTTTACTTCACTACATTTCATAAAACGTATCGTTACTCCTTATAATATATCACGTGCTCCGACAGACAGAAGCGGTGTCTGATTCAAGAACGAACTGATTCTTTTCAATGAGCCTGTTAAATCGTTTCGCAAATCGCACCAAACGATTCATTCATGAATTGGAATGATCCGATTGCAGCTGTTCTCTGGTCGACAACTCACTGACTCAAATGATCCATTTAGTGCGACTCTCCAGTGAACTGAATTCACGAGTAAGAACCGGGAGATCTTGTGAGCGCGTGCGGGCGACTGATGCTGTTAAAAGTAAGTTACTAATGTCGAATTTTAGGATTAATTATTGTAACTGAAAATCATATTTAGGTCAAAGCTGTCAGTTGTTTGTGAGCTAAATCTGCTGTAGAGGGTGATCTGTTTAAGCCCACTGAAATGCTTGAATGCAGACACATTAACATCAGAGTCTCTATGTTTTTGGTAAAAAAAATTTAAATAACACAGATTATTAAATAAAATAACTCATGCACATTCATCTTCCCCGCTGCTGTAGCGTTAGCAGTTTTACTAAAATGCTATGCATTTAGCCCTATGTGACGTCTGTTTTTATATTGTTTGTCAAAGTGGGAAGTGATGCCCTCTGGGGGCATTTGGCCAGGGGTGTTTTTACACAGACAAGGTTTGAAAAGAAAAAAAATCATTATGAAAATCGAATTATATTTTCCTTATTATATTCATTATTTCCTTATTGGTTATTTTGGGAAAATCCCAGGTATTTTGAGCAGTAGGATTATAAAACAATATATGCTAATATAAAATTAAATTATAAAAGTATAGCCTATATAAAACCGCAAAATAAACATTCATCTATCTGTACTTTTTACTTAAGTACATAAAAAATCAAGTACTTTTGTACTTTCACTCGAGTAAATTTGAAAACTGAGTACTTTTACTTTGGAGTAATATTTTTTTATATGGATCTGTACTTTTACAGTACAGTACTTGAGTACGATTTGTATACTTCGTCCACCACTGGAAAGCACCAACATACAGTAATAGATGCTGAAAGACAGCTATATTAAAAAACACAGGGTATTACCAAGAAAACAAAAAAACAATCATGTCTTACTTGTAAGTTTATTGGCATGGTGTACATGTAGTACTATATGAGATGATGCCTCTTTTTTATCTCTTTCTTTTCTTGATGAATGCCTGATGTTTCAGGATAAAAATCGAAGAGGAATATGCCAAGAACCTTTCCAAACTCTCCATGTTCCCGATGGCAGCACAAGAGGAAGGGTATGTTACAAAGATGATTTTTTAAGCAGTATTAAAGGAGTTTGTATACTGGATGCCTGTTAGCTGCTTTTCTAACTAAAAAATTGGAATTAAAAGATTTTTGAGCATTGCGCTATATAAAGATCAAGTTGAGAAGATGTAAATGTACTAAAATGTTGACTGGGGGTTTAAAAATAAATGAACACATAATTAAAAAGGCTTTATACATGCTTAATTGTATTGAATATGCACTTTTGGTGTACTGCAAATCTTAAAAGTATATATTTAAAAACATGTACTTGTAGATAATGTTATTAATGAAATAAAAGGCCACATTAGTGTACTTAAAGAGAGATACTTTCATGACTGTTTTTTTAACATGCACTTTTAAAAAGTACACTGTGTAATAATGTCAAATTAAACATTTTATTTTAACGTACATTATAATTTTTAATCTTTTGTTATACTTTAAAGAAGTACATTATTTTTTAGCTTTAACCATCCTTCCTGGGTTCTGGTTTGATTTAGGACTCTTGGAGAAGCTTGGGCCCAACTTAAGAAGAGTCTAGCTGATGAAGCTGAGGTCCATCTCAAGTTCTCCTCAAAGGTGGGCAGTTCTCAGTTTTCTGTAATGATATTTCTCAATAGAGGTGATATAAAATCCAGCTGAGAAACTGGCGGTTCAAGCTCATGCATTGTCAGGGAAGATGAAGTATCTGGCCTTTATTTCTTTTCTGTGCTGTACTGAATAGCTTCCCCTCAGAGATGTTATTAGCTGCCTGTATATGAGCGACACAGCTTTCTTCAGTCTGCTGTGATTTGTCTATTTCCACCGCTGTGCTTTCCCGTGTTCACACTAGCGTGCTCCATTTAGCGCTAGTGTGGGTGATCAATTGCAGAAAGATGGAGGTGATTCTGCAGTTTTATTCCCTCAGATCACGTATGATTAACGGAGACAGCAAAACAAAAAAGCCTTGCTTTTAAAGAACATCACCATTACTAAAGCAAAAACTCGATCCAAATATGTATGCACTGAAAAGCAGTAAGAGTCGTCTCAGAGAACCCACACACCCCACAAGTTCATTTCAGATGTTGTTCAGTGTTCATGCCCAGATATGCCATGGAGCTGTGTAACTGATGCAGAAGATTTTGTCTCCAGCTCCAGAGTGAAGTCGAGAAGCCTTTACTGACCTTCAGAGGAGACAACTTTAAAAAAGACATGAAGAAATACGACCACCACATCGCTGACCTGAGGAAGCAGCTGGTCAGCCGTTATGCTGCTGTGGAGAAGGTACAAACTTAGTGAATGTTTTGTTTAAACTCTTGTGAAAAATAAGTGTGCTTCATTGTACTTAAATCTTAGAACTATATAAAAAAATGTACTTGCATATAATATTAATGAAATAAAAGGCCACGTAAGTGTAGAGCTAAAGCTATCGACCTTCCCTGAAGCTAACCTTCCCTGAAGTCCTATTGGCTCACGCCAGTCCAAATGACTGGCCAATTGTCACGAAGTATGCAAATCACATTCAAATACTGACACGCTCGATAGGCAGTATAAAAGGCGGTGCACGCGACAATTACGTCAGAATTTGATACTGAACGCCGCTTAGCTGGTCGAGCAGCAAACACGGCGACCTCCGTGATGTCTCGTTCCGCTCTCAGGGAACCGAGGTTATGATAGTAAACAGGAGACGTTCCCTCTCGAGTTTTCACGAGACATCACGGAGACATTTCTCCATTATGGGAACGATATTCAATCCCGCCGTAGTGATGTCCGGTTCGCGAACGAATCGTTCGATTTAACCGGTTCTTCTTAATGAACCGGTTGAACCAGTTCACCAAATCGGACTGAATCATTTGAAACGGTTCGCGTCTCCAAGTAGCATTAATCCACAAATTCCTTAAGTTATTCACTTTTTTAACATGGCTGACACTCCCTCTGTGTCGAAATGAACCAATATCCCGGAGTAATTCATTTACTCAAACAGTACACTGACTGAACTGCTGTGAAGAGAGAACTGAAGATGAACAGGAGCAGAGCAGCCGGATAACGAACATACAAGCCCACTGCTGGAGCGGTCCTCGTTCGAGTCAAGAACCGGTTGCATCGGTTTGCGGATCACCAGTACACTGAACCGAGAACTGTTTCTTTCGGACATCTCCGATTTGAGAACCGATGAGCTGATGATACTGCGCATGCGCGATTCAGCGTGACGCTACCGAACAGATTGCGTAGGCTACTATGACTGGCACAGCACGTCTGAACCGAACTGGTTCTTTTGGTCAACTGATTCTGTGCTAATGTTATGAGCGCGGGTAAACCGAAGACGTGAATGAAGGGCAATCCGGCGAAACGTAAATTTACTTAATTACAAATAAACCGTAATGGATTATATATAGTAAGTGGAGCATAGTTTCTGTGCTGATGAAGACTAATTTATTGACGTCATAACTGTAAAACATCCTAGTTTGCTGATCACTGCCTGTATATGTGTTGATGCTTTAGATACAAAAAATCCAAATTGTAAGAAACGTATCAGATTATAATGAACATTTAGAGCATGGTTGCGCTCTCACACTAACGTTACTTAAATGAAGGAAAATTATTTCTAAATTTGGAAAGTAATTTAAAAAAAAAATGCTTTTACTTGTTTTATTTTGTTCAATGTTGAGGAACTGCAGCGTACGTACAGCAGACATCTATTAGAGAAAAAAGGAGGAAGATATTTAAAACAAAGTTTATCTGTATTTACCGAGGCGAACTAAGGTAAGTTGTAAACACCACATCTGCACTTGTGTGTACGTTACATCTGCCGGCGCCGGCATTTTTCAAATTAACAACGGTTGTTCACGGCGACGCAAAGAATTGTGGGTTATCTGTAGCAGCGAAGGATACACCTCATGCATCCTCCGAATTCTTGTGAAAGAAGGTCGCATTCGGAGTGTCCTACTTGCTTTTCTGAAATGAGACAGCCTCGATGACGTATGCAGCCTTCGAATGCGACCTCCGGAGGACGCAGCCTTCTAAATGAGACACAGCTTATAGCGACGCTTGCAAGGCGGGTTCGCAGCTGATAGGTGGAGACAAGCCAATGAGCATCTAAAGCCCAGGCATATGAAATTTGCATATCTGGTCAGTGATAACCAGTGGTGGAGGTAACGAATTACAACTACTTACGTTACTGTAATTAAGTAGTTTTTTCGGGTACTTGTACTTTTTTGAGTATATTTTAAAGCTGTACTTTTACTTGTACTTAAGTACAAATTAAGCAAAATAATCTACTTCGTTACATTTAAATCATAGTTCGTTACTTAGTACGCCCACAATTTGAATTGATATTCAAACATTTGACGGCACTTCAGTAGCCAATAAAGATATCCGACCATAAATGGACCAATAACAGCCCTGATATCTGAACCGGGAAAAGCCGCTGTGTTTTCTCTCTCCTCTCCGACAGTGAGTTTGACACGCATCCGCCTCCTGACAATTACAGAGTCTGAATGTCCGCGCGGGATTGCAGGTATTTCGCATAATTTTAATCATTCCCGCGCAAATGTGGCGAGCGCTTTATTGTAACATGAAAACACAGTCAATGTAATGGCAGAAAACTGGATGCGAGCTCTCAAATAGGCCTAATTTTTACAAATGAACTGCTTGTTCTCTCGCTCCGATATTGCTTGTGCGCAGACGGTGTGCAATCGCGATCTCTCCGTGCTTTTAAAGTAGAAATGATTTCACTTTTCTCATGGATTAAACTTTGTCAAAAGTTATCAACCATTCAGAATAGATCCAAGCCTGATCGATGAAAATCCTACTGGAAATTTTATTGGCTGTAAGTCAAATGCACCAGAAAGTCTTTCAACAATCAAAGATGGAACATAATTTCTTTACAATGTAAGTTTATGCTAGAAATGTTTTGGAATGGGATATTTGTCTGATTGGTATAAATATCCTAGTTTGCCTAACTGCATCACTACATTGTACAGACATTAGGGTCAAAGCCATCTGATGTTCCATTTATCTAAATAAATAGGCCTAACATACTGTATATGGCTCTTAAATCACTGCTTATAAAAGTTCAGTGTTGTCATATTTTGGATACTGCAACACAATTGAGGTAATTTGTTTTATAAATGTATTCATGAATGTGTAATTTGTTTGCAAATTCAATTAAGAATGAAATCAAATTTGAAATCAAGCTTCCTTGTGCTGTAAGCTTTTGCAACAAAGTTACCCTATTTTAAAGACACAAATGCGCAGAATGAGCAAATGTTTAAGATTAAGTTTTTGTAATGGTAATTGATACATTTTTATATGTATGTAAATAAAAGCCTATATTAAAATCTGTTAATTGTATAAAGCGAATGTGTCTTTTTAGAAGACTTGGATTAAACTAATTTAAAAGCTTAATAATAATCTTGAACTAATGATTGCCTTGAAAAAATGGATGTACAATTTTTTTTTTTTTTAAATATCTATATGGCAGTATACAGTAGTATGTGTTAGTTTTTCCAATGGTATTGAAAATGATTAGTTGTCATGAAATCAAAAATGACCCTACTTACTTTTTAGTGCACATTACTAGTCTTGTGGTGAACAATTAAACCGTGCAAGTCAATACACTGGGGAAAAAAATTGTCTGCCGTCGTAATCTTTAATCAAAAACTGAAAATTGGCTTCCGCTCTGGAATGGCGTTCTTGCTCTGATGACGTCAGTTTGACAGCTTGGGGAGAAACCTCTTGTTAAGTCATGACGTAAGGATTGCTGTTTCCAGGTCCAAGCCTCTCCTCATTTCACTTGAGAATACTATTTCAGCAGCCATTTATGATCATTATTTAATTAATATTACATATTTAAGCTAAGCATTAAAAAATTTGCTGTGCACACTACAGTCCTCGTGCTCACAGTAGGCGCGTTTCCATTACCCTTCAAATTGCGCAAATTGAAATTGCGAATTGAAAATACGCCTAATGGAAACGCGTCAATTTCGCAAAAACGGCCATATATCGCAAAAAAGTTTTTACGCTCGCATGAGGTGGTTTTTCAGGCAATGCGAAAAAGGATTAATTCGCAAAACTGCAATGGAAACGGCTTTTTCGCATTTACAGGTCACATGGCCTATGTAAAAAGTCATATGATCATTCTTCAACGCACTATAACCTCCAAGAAACACTTCATAAGTGGCCGCGCTCCAGTAAGGGGCTTTCCCTCCCTACTATTAATACTTAGACAATTTACACTGCACACGTCTGCGGTGCGAGTGTGGCTCTGATACGGTCACTGAAGCTGATTACGGCCACTCAATGCTCGTGTTTATGTTTTTATACAGTCTGTGCTTTATTCCAGCCGTGCCACGCACGTTTCTAAAGCGGCCCTCTGTGCTGCTTCTGTAAAGATACACGCATAAGCCTCCTTTGAATAAATATAGCCAAAATCCCACCAAAATCCGTTGCCATGACTTATCGCGAGAGGCAAAATGTTATGTTTTAGCCGCATAACATTGGTTAATGGAAACGCCGTCATTTCGCAATACTTTTTTATCGACATTCAGAAAATATCGCCAAAGTTTTGCGCAAATCTGTAATGGAAACGCGCCTACTGTCTCAGACACTTATATTTTAGCTGAATCACTGTCAGGCTATCTGGGATTTCAGTATGGAGATAAAGGGTAGGGTTATAATTTTTCAGTATTACATGACATCGTGAGTGTGTATATGCACAGTTTGTTGTTTTTTGGGGGGCTTCTGGCAGAGCGTTAGGACCCATAAGCGGTGAAGCATGATGTCAGACGTAACAAGCAGATATTCTTAACCACTATCCAACTGGGAATCTGCTATGAGCAAGAGGTGGAGAGGAGGTGCACCACAATAAAACCCCGCCCTTTATTCAAAATTCCGTTTCACTTGGAAATACATCACTGAAGTCAGTTGCAACTTCCGGTTCACTGGTACTTTGAAATTTATATTTTTCAAGGTATTGAAGTTAGAAATTCCTGTATCATGACCACTAATTCATGAAAAGAGCTGGCTGTCTGGTGCAGTCTTAACAACCTGGAGCTTAACACGCTCAAAACTGTGGAGATGATCATGGACTTCAGGAGAAAACCCCCTGCACTCCCCCCACTCACCATCATGGACAGCACTGTGACTGCAGTGGAGTCATTCAGGTTCCTGGGCACCACAATCTCTCAGGACCTGAAGTGGGACACTCACATAGACTCCATTGCAAAAAAGGCCCAGCAGAGGTTGTACTTCCTTCGCCAGCTGAGGAAATTCAACCTGCCACAGGAGCTGCTTAAACAGTTCTACTCTGCTATCATTGAGTCTGTCCTGTGTTCATCCATAACTGTCTGGTTTGGTTCAGCAACCAAATCAGACATCAAGAGACTACAACGGACAGTCAGGACTGCTGAGAGGATTATTGGTGCCCCTCTGCCCAGCCTCCAAGATCTTTACATCTCCAGAGTGAGGAAAAGGGCTAAAAAAATCACCTTGGACCCCTCACACCCAGCCCACTCTCTCTTCGAACTGTTGCCTTCTGGTCGGCGCTACAGAGCACTGACCACCAGAACAGCAAGGCACAAGAACAGTTTTTTTCCCACAGGCTATACTCAGTCTAAACAATTAAGCTTTCAAAATTATACAACTAACATAGTATATTTATATTAAACTGCACACTTTGTAAATAACATATCTATCTGCACACTAATAAACATATCTGTACATTTATCTAAACAATTACATTTTTTTTTTTTTTATTATATTAGTTTTATATTACATCCCTACTGTGTTATTCCTATGTATGTCTACACTATCATGTATGTCTGCACTATGTTTGTACTTTCTTCTACACTGGAAGCTCCTGTCGTCAAGTCAAATTCCTTGTGTGTGTAAACATACTTGGTAATAAAGCTCTTCTGATTCTGATTCTAATTCACATACTTTGTCAATAAGATAAAAGTGGGTTTTGTTCAAAGTAGCTATTATCCACATATATCTTTGCAGGGCTCTACAGTGCGACCATATCAGTCGAATTTGCGACTGAAAACTACTGCGTGCGACTATGAAAAAATATTTAGGAGCGCCAGTGTGACTGACCAGATCTTCATCATATTTGTGATCGCTGAGGGGAGCTTCAAAGGTTTCTACGTGTTTTTGTAGCTGTTACGGACCGCTCAGAGACTGAGTGAGGATCCAAATGCAGTGTTTATTAGTAAAATCCAGAATCGAATCAGACAGCAGGCAAGGGTCAACACACAGGCAATCAGTCCGACTAAACAAGGCAGAGAACACAGGCAAAGAGTCCAAAAACCAAGATACATATAAACAGGAGAAACGCTCAGATGCAGTGTAACACTTACAAGACTTTGCAAAGAATGACAACCTAAACCAGACTTATATAGGGTGAGCAGACAGGGTAAATGAGACACGGGTTCTAACAGTGAGTGTTGATGAGTCCGGGCAAAGGATTATGGGAAATGAATTTTTTGATGGAGTGGTAAAGTCCGGGATGGGGTGCCCTCTAGTGAAGCTCACGGGCACTCCAACTAGAGATCATGACAGAGCCCCCCCCTTAAGTAGCGAATTCCAGACGCTCCACTATCACTCCATGGTAGAGTTGCTGGAGGGAGGAACCATGAAGGTGACACTGGAGGTATCAGGGGTCTGACTGATGGAGACGGAGCCGGTGGAAGAGGAGCCCAAGGAGGAGACAGAGAGCCGAAGAGCTGGGGTGACTTGTGTGTGCGCGCGCGTCGGGGCGTAACTCCGCTGTGCATGATACAGAGAGCGTGACCATAACGTAGAGACCGAAATTACATGCCCTCGTGTAAATAAGATAAATAACATAAAGCTATTTAGTTTGTTTAATAAAAGAACAAGGTATAGACCCGTTCTATCGGAAAGGTAACTTTAAATGACTTCTTTTGTGATCTGGCGCTATAGAGAAAATATATTTAAATAAAATTAACTTGACCTGCAAGGGGGCCGCCCCCCTAAAATAATGGCAGGGGAAACACTGCAATGCATCGAAGTTGAGCACAGTTTAACTGTCTGGCAATGCAGCATTTATCAATGGGATTGCAGACAGTGAAGCTCATATGATTCATTGCTTTATGTGATTGTATACAGCATAGTGGGAACATCTATTAACAACAGTAGTTGCTCCAGCTTTTACTTGGTAGAAAATAGAAAATTACAAATTCACACATCTGGGTTTTAAACTGTCAATTTAGGGTTTGAAAAAAATGCAAATCATATAGAAAATAAAATGAAATAAATCTCTCAAGTTTTGGTTTGACCTTTTGAAGTTGATGGTCAACATTGTTTTCTGAAGGTTAGGCACCTAAAAAATTATGTATATTTTGTACCCTATTTAATCTAAAGAGCAGTCTTTACATTGCTTGTTTTTGTTGTGTTTTGCAGGCACGGAAGGCTCTAGCAGACAGACAGAAGGATCTTGAGGTGAAAACACAGCAGCTTGAGATCAAATTGAGCAACAAAACAGAAGAGGATATTAAAAAAGCCAGACGGAAATCCACACAAGCAGGTCAGAGCATCAGTACAAAGCAGTCCATTAAGCCTGAGCTAGTATGGTCTTACTACACTAAACCTGAGGACACTTTCCTTTCATCCAAGATGTTACTAAACCCATTGTGTTTTGAAATTAAGAGGAGTAACAATGTTAGTTCAAGTTTGCAGGGGTGATATTTTGGCTCTATATACGATTTATTAAAGGAACATATCTGAGAACTACAGTGGATGGGAAAGGTTTCAAGGAATAATGACTTAAATTTCAGTCTGGCCCTCACACAAAGCAATTGTATGGCTTCAGAGGACTTCAAATATAGCACATTTGGAGCCTGACAACCTGTAGTTGCAAAAAAATTTAATTTAATGTAAAAGAGGAGCTTGGTCATTCTGCTAAACATCTACTTTTGTTTTCTGCGGAAGTCGTATGGGTTTGAAATGACATGAGAGTATGTTTTGACAGAATATTCATTATGTTCACTCTTCCTTTAGCCCCACTAGTTTGTGTATGTGTTTTATGGTTTGTAGCATATTTGATAGATGACAGATCAGGCTTTTATGGCTCATATAGTATAATACATGTGGAGCTCATACACGAGGATGAAAAAATACATTTATTTTATTCAGATGCCCAAACAGAGCAAAATATGCAAATTGGTGTAAATGCTGATATTGATATGTTCCAAAAGTTGAATTTATAATATAAATCAATGAGATCTTTATGTAAGTATAACTGACTACTTACATAAAATGCATATAAATTTCAGTTGCCACTGTATCGGACAATCATATGTACAGTAAGGTGATATTTAAATGCTTAGTTTTACGATCAAAGTTTTTATTGTTTTTCTGTCTTTTTAATCATATAATGCAATGAATTGATAAATGAGAGATGTACAAATAAATGTTTCTCATCAATTGTTCATCTTGAAATATTAATAACAATATAAAGTTATTCTCATGTTTACTTCATTAAAAAGACTCACAGTTTTGATCAGGTTGACAAAGAGAGGCCGAAATTTGCGTATCAAATATGATACAGTAGGCTTTGTAGGATAAAGAAGCTGTGTGCAATTATACTCCAACTATGAGAATCCTCAAGTCACAGTTTGCCAGCTGTCATAACACTGTAACAGACTGCACTGGCAGACAAACTCCTGGCTGCTCCATTGACTTCCTCCGTAGTCTCTCGTTTTAAAAACTTCCAGCCATTCTCTTCCACTCAGGATGGATTACAAATGAAACGAACCCTCCGTAATCTGGGGTCTATCCTTTTTGTGTTGAGTAAGAAGCTTTCTTTGAGGTGAAATCTTGCGTGGGGCGTCATTGTTGTAGCGTGCAGAGACTGTGAAGATGAGACTGTGTTTTTGAGCAAGGGGAGAGAGGCATGACAAACAGGATGGGAGAGAACAGTGCAGGGGATGGAAGAGGACTTTGGCTCAATCCCAGGAGTCTGTGTTTAAGAGGAGCCAGGCCATATTGGTTCCAGACAGAGTTGGGAAAGGCATGGAGTAATCTATTTTTGCAGTGGGAAAATGGGCCTTGTGGGAGCTGATGATCAGCATGCCAAGCCTCTTATTGCTCCGAACGCCTACTATCAATGCCGGACTTGTCCTGAGCTGGACACTCACACATCCCTAATGCAGGAAGACCTGGCAGCCCCGAGGTTCACATGGTAGGACGTGTCACGGGGGAGAATTCACTCCACCTTCAACCTGTTGGCCTGAGATACTGGTGCATTATTGAGGACCCTAATGGTGTCTTATTCAGTGCTTATAGACTGACTCCATCAGCACAGAGAACCAAATGACCATGACTGACTCACGCACAGCCACAACACTGAGTGGATTAGACTAAACAGCACTGTGAGACAAGTTCCTGCTTCACTATTCAATTTCAGAAAACTGCAACATTAATGTGATGTGCATAACAATTAACTCACTTCAAAGTAACAGGAAGTACCACTATATAACATGTTTTTAATGCCAATTAATGGTCACTTGACATGCAGATAAACAAATTAAATATGTAATCTTATTTAGATTTTTTTTCTCTCTCTCTCTGGCAGACAATACAATGGGTGACAAGTGGCTTGCAATCCACAAGTGGCTGCTTTGAGAAATATTATTGATTGATTGATTGATACATACATACAAAAAATGAGTTTTCAGGCATGTCAGATTAATTAACGTTTATATATTTCTTAAATGTTAACACAAAAAAATGACAAATTTGCCAAATTTATATTATTATTATTTCATTTTCTTCCCAGCAGAGTAAGAAATAAAGACCAAATAATTTAACAGTAAGGAGAGAAAAAAATTCACATTAAAGAATTGTTTATATTTATAAATATGTTATAGCTTTCAATGCAATTTGCCACCCTTGTCACTCTTATCTTGCTCCTTGGAGTTTTTAAAATGTATAAAAATAAATAGCGGGTAATAAAGTTTAGGTCCAATACAGTTACAGTATACACTCAAGGCAGTCATTTTATTTTGCAAACAACATGTTGTAATATCACACTTGTGTGAATTAGTGGTAACACTTTAGTTTAGGGACCAATTCTCACTATTGACTATTTGCTTATTAGCTTTGTTATTGTTGTTGTTATTTATTATTGTTTATTAGTACTTATAAAGCACATATTAACTGTGTTCACATTGCACGATGGATCGGCGACAGGGGGTTTCACATTGCATGACTTCACAATAGGAAGACAGCTCTATCTGGTCCGCAAACTACATTTCACAACAAAACACACGCGAGAAGTGATAAGGAAATAACGCGAGAACCCGCGTGCGTCAGACCGGAGTTCTCGAGTGAGACTGGAATTATATAAAAAAAAAATATATATATATATGTATATAGCCCGCAAATTGTCTGTGAGCTGATTTCCAGCTACAACGAGAAAAAGAAAAACCGATTATCCAGGAGGGAGATGCAGGGAACAGGGATTAGGTGTTCTGCAAAGAGAGTTGGAGGTAAATAATTTTGCAGTAACTGTTATGCTGATGTTGTGGCTGGTCAAGCAAATATTTGTGCTTGTTTCTATATTATATAATTGTTCATATATCTATTAAAATACTGATATTCTGGTCTATAACTCCTTCCCGGACTTCCCTCTGCCCTGTATCTTGGTCTCTCATTGGCTGTAGGTCATCACCGATGTAGTTTTCAGTTAGAAATCATTGCACACAGCGTGATTGTGAATCGCCGACAGCTCCAGATATTTAGCATACCAACTACTTTGGTAATTCACACTGCGTGATTGTCACTCCCGTGAACGAGCACCGATTTGCCTCCGATTTCGGACATTTGTCGGCGAGTGAAAAATCGGGCTAAAACCGTGCACTGTGAACTCGGCATTAATCCAACCCCATAAGAATTGGTCCCCAAACTAAAGTATGATGGAATTTGTATATTGTCTCACACTGTATAAAAGGGGCTTTATACAAGAAAATGTATAATTGCCTTTAGATTTTAGGATGGGTGTCTCTCGAAAGGAGATGATTATATTTAGGGGTCTGCAAAACCTTGCCTTAGACTTACACTGAATGAGGAACTTGCTAAAGACCAGAATATTATAGATTTTTTTTTTAATTTCAACCAGTAAGCAACATCCCAATAACCACCCAGAACACATTAGCAATTCATATGCAAAGCAACACGTTGGCATCCAGCCACAAAACTCGTTTATATTATTGAACACATAGTTATTAATTAGAATCACTCCTGCTACAATAAGCCACGTGATAATTATGCTGTAAGATATCAGTGTCAAATGGTGTTTTAGATTATCAGCTTTGATTTTCTTTGTTTGCAGAGATATTTTCTATTGCTTGACTGCAGGAGATTGTTTTTAATTGTGCCACTTCCAAGAGCTTTACAGTGTTTTCCTCTGCAGCTGAGCTCAGTAGAAAAGCCCTGTATGATGTTATCTGTGTCTCTCTTTCTCAAACTCAAACGAGCAAGTCGCAGTTCCCACTATAAATCAACGGCCAAACATTAGGGGTCATATGATGTTGCTAAAAAGAACATTATTTTGTGTATTTGGTGTAATGAAATGTGTTTAATGTGGTTTAAGGTAAAAAAAAAACATTATTTTCCACATACTGTACATTATTGTTTCTCCTCTATGCCCCGCCTTTCTGAAACGCGTTGATTTTTACAAAGCTCAACGGTCTGAAAAGCGAGGTGTGCTGTGATTGGCCAGCTATCCAGTGCATTGTGATTGGCCGAATACCTCAAACGTGTGAAGGAAATGTTACGCCACCTTACTATACTGTGATGCCCTGTCCGGCCGGAGCGACGAGACAAAACCAGTAAAACCCATTATTAACAAGGCATTTGTTGCATCCAGTGGGGACATAATTACGGATTATAATGACTTATACTGTCTTTTTACGCGTTGCGTTGCATCACGCCGCGTAAACATAAAACCATGTCTGCATTTGTGATCAGAGAAATGACACAACATGCGCTACTCTGCTCAAAACTCGCATTTGTGGCAAATTCTTTAAATATAAAAGACTTACTTACAGTCTGTGAGTCAGAACAGCGGGCATTGTAGTCTACTCTGCCAGGAAATGCACACATCTGAATATTTGGGTTGAAGTGTTCTGGAACAGTGTTGTAAATACAACTTAACCACTGATTTCTAGTCGTGTCCTCTTTTGGAAGGCCAAACAAAGTAGTTTCGCTTTCACAACGAAACACAGCGTCACACACGGCGGGCTTGAGTGAGCAGCAGCGGGCAGGCTTGAGTGAGTGGCATACAGTTTATAGAGTGAGTGGTGGTGAGCTTGAGTGAGGAACGGCCGGCGGGCTTGAGAATGGCGCGACCGGTGGATTCGACGAAGGAGTGGCCGGCGGACTTGCGGATCTTCTTTATGCACCAAGAGCTTGTAACACTCCAAAGAGAAAGGACAATTTTAAATCGCATCATATGACCCCTTTAAGCACAGCTCAAATGCCATTTTCCTTCAGTAATCATGATGGCTGAAATCACTAATGCAAATGTCTTTAAAGCCTGGAGCTCATTTACATATAGATGGAGCGATCTAGGTTTTTTTTTTTCTTCCAAGATGTCGATATTCTTTCTATCTCACATGTCTGTCTCCTTTTGCCTCGGTTTACCTTTAATTATGCATGTAATTGTAAAACCCAGTAGTTCTGTTTGGGAACAGCTTTTCCTGGTAAACAGCTTGAGTTTAAATGATACCTGTGATTATTGTGTTACAGAAGGGGATACAAATACTAATAAATGAGTTAAAACTGAACCCTGTTGGTAAAGTCAAGCACTTATAAAATAAGAAAACATTAAATAATAAAAAATAAAGTAAATCGGTATCTTTGAAAATATCCAAATATCATTAAAACAAAATTTATTCAGTTGAGAAGCAAAGTCTTGTTTCACTATCAAGAAAAGCTTGATTCGGGGAAAAAAATCTGTTTAAATTAAAAACCATATTGAATGATCATCTGATTGCATGAATTATGCAGTGTACACTTGCATACTTTGGAAAGAATAGCTCAAATTAATTTAATTTAACCTCATGAGTTCTTGTGGATTTTGAAAGATTTTTTATATGTATTTTGTCATATATTTTGCATATGTTTATTAGTTTGAAATGCTCCAGAAATCCAAGTTTTGTCTTGTTACTTTGGCAGTTTTTTCCCCACTTGTTGTAAGCATGAACCACACTACATTTTTTTTCTATAAAATTTTTTTGTAACTGCATCTATGATTATAATGACTCTCTCTGTGTTTTATCTGAATAGGTGATGATCTGATGCGTTGTGTGGACCTTTACAATCAGGCTCAGTCAAAGTGGTTTGAGGAGATGGTCACCACAAGCCTGGTAATTGTTTCTATTATTTTATTACTCTAGTTTCCTTGTGCAAAATGACACTTCATGCATATGAAGTTATTATGATTTCTGAATATTCTTAATGATTCTTCTTTATGAGGCTCATTTATCATTTTATTATCCATAAGATACCTTTTATTGTTGTTTTTGTTATTCATCTTTTAATTGTGGTAAAACTGTAATGCTCAAATTTGAATTGCTTATTGCTTTTACTAAATAGCAGCAACAGCAATATCGGAAAAACACACTAATGTTCAATAAATTATTTCATGTACTGTTATTAATAATAGTAATAAATAAAACTATAATTCCAAGCTCTATATTTCCCCACTTTATTTTCTTTATAGAATCTGAATTCTTTAAAAAAGGGTTGTAAGCATGAATTAAACCAACCAGCTTTGAAATGATTCATCACAGATTTTTATTTAAATTTAGATAAATAAAAAATAAATAAATAAAATAAAATAAAAACATTTAATTATTTGATTAGGCAATGAACTACACATTCCATGAAGCACTGCATATGCCATAATAAAATGATAAATATAAAACTACTGACTGATAGCAATTTATTATAAGTATAAAACTATATATTTTTTTGATTTACTGAAAATATTCTGATTTGTACAGTACTAAAATGTAAATATGGAGAAAGTTTATGGGTTGCTGCTAACCTCAGCTTCTCCGATTGGTGGATCTCTCTTAATGATTATGCGTAGTGTAGTTCTTTACCAGGAATTTAGAAATGTAATGCAACATCCTAAAGATGAAATGAAATATTGTGGCTTCTGTATCATATATCATTGCTTAATCTCTGTGCTCACGGTAAGTCTGTCTTGAAAGGTTTTATACATGATTATGAATAATGAATTTCACCATGCATGAAGAAAATGAATTAGATTTTTGTCAGAGCCATCAGCTAATAGCAATATAGACTGATCCTAGATCAGTGATTGTCTGTGTTTGCACTCTGAAGGAGTTGGAGAGGTTGGAGTTGGAGCGGGTAGAGACGATACAGCAGCTTCTGCGTCAGTACACCACACTGCGGCATGAAACGGATATGTTCAACCAAAGTGTGAGTAACAGCAGTGTGTTCCAGCTGAACCCAGTTTCATAAACCAACTTTGCTTCATATTCAGATATTATCGGCAGCTATCTGTACTGCATTAGAATTTTATTAAAGCGGTTTTCAAATTATCTTTCATATGATCTGAGAATCTCATTACATGAGCTTTATCATGTGCTCTGTTCTCAGTGCAAATAAATGCTGCACAAGCTTTTCTCAGAAACCGTTTCACTTTTCTGAGACATTTGTGCTCCGTGACTGAATCAGCTGGTGTTTTGGTGATTTTAATGTATGTATGAAATCAGTTCTCCTGAGGTTTACCTATGTGTCCTAGCAGAGGAACCGCAGGTGTAGAGAATCACTTTAACTGTCAACATCATCCACTAAAGTTTGACATCCAGAAAGTGTTCAGATGCTTCTCCACCTTAGGCTATATCCATGTCAATCCATCCACATAAATAAGTTTTGGCCTTTCGGCCACACTGGAAGACGTTCTCAAATGGATACATTTGAAAAGGCTGTTTTCGCATTGTAGTGTGGACTGTGATATGGAGGTAATTGAAAACATCGATTCATGTTTGGTCATGTGATACATATTGTTCCCACACATACATTAATAATTTGTAAAAAATTTATTTTTATTATTAATTAATAATGTTGCAAAAGTTCAATTTAATGATGTTTTACACATGTGCTGCAAGGTGATTTAAACATTTACAGATGTTTCAGTGTGGACATGCAGCTTTTGGAAAGCACTTAAGAACGGTAGTGTGGATGGAGAGCGTTTCAAAACGATAATGCCATTTTCAAATATATCCAGATGAATATAGATGTAGCCTTGATTTGGACAGGATATATTTTTTGTTAAAAGTGTGTTTGTTTTATTTTTTTAAGTACAAACTACACTGTAAAAAAAAAAAATAAATAAATAAATATATATATATATATATAATTTTTATTTTTTTAAGATTATTGTACAATATGTTTACAAGAAAATACTATTTCAGTCCTCGGTTCTATTATTTAATCATTCATGCTACTTGCCATAATTACTTGGTATTTACGGTAAATGTGAAATTTACTAGCAATTTCCGCGTAAAATTGTTAAACCAATAATTTTTCAGTGCAATAGGTTTGATATTTTATTATATAAAGCAAAGATATACATAAACTTTTAAGTGTCCTAATACTTTTTTATGTTTGAAAGATTAAAACATACAAAGTAAAAAAAAATCAATAAATTAAAATAAAAGTAAAAAATAAATGGAAACATAACATAAGTTGTTATAGTGTATAAGCTATCTCAGCAAATAACTCTTGTACTGTAAATTCAAACGCTTCCATTCCTCTGTATTTGTGCTTGCTAAGATAATCTTTAAAATAATGTGTGGATTTCGGTTATCATGTTAAAAGACACATTAAAAATCCACACAGCTCGTGTTTCAGGGCAAACAGAGTGTAAACACCTGCTCCAGAGGCCTCGGGGTGTGCTAGTGAAAGCTGCTGTCTTCACAGGAGACTAGCTGCCAGTGCTCACAACTTCACAGAGTAACACTTGCCATCAGTCCGAGTATGTTTAGCAGGTGAATCTCAATCAGGACCTCAGCCTTAATGGACATGTTTCCTGTGACACTTGATGAAGTGGCCAAAATAGACTTAAACCTCTTAAAACTGAGTTACTGTATATGTTTGAGCATGCACATTTGAAGACAGAGATACTATGGCTTTATTACTGTTTTTTTTCTTCTATTTTACAAGCATGAACATACTGAGCATACATAAAAATTCTACACATATTCTACACAATTAAACACATTATATGAGCTTTTACCCATTAAAATGACTTTTATTAGCGTCAATAAGCGTTTATTATCAGTCAGTGTGAAATTAAACTTTAAATAATAAACATGATTTTTCATTTTTGTCTGAATATTGACCAGGTTTGCATGTCCCCATTCATTACATTTACACTTTAATAGATTATATAAAATATCTACATTTTGATTTAAACTAATTTAAAATATAAATGACTACACATTTTTTATTTCAATCCCAAAACATTTTGAATGTAACAGGTTTGGCACAAAAAATGTTTTGAAAGAAAAATGTCAATTCAATTATAATGTAAAATGTAACATAATCACACCAGAGTGATGCTACCAGAATTTACTAAAATGTACTAAAATTATAAATATCAAAATCTTGCACAAATTTGGCACAAATGGCACCCTTTGCTGAGAATGACCCATTATTGTTATATAATTTATTTAAAATTACCTTGTAACGCTACTGTTCAAAAATTTGTCTAAGATTTTTTTGAATGTTTTTGAAAGACGTCTCTTATGCTCCCCAAGGCTACATTTATTTGATCAAACATACCGCAAAAACAGTAATATTGTGAAATATTTCAAAAAAGTGTTTTCTGTATGAATATATTGTAAATTGAAATTGTGAAAAGCTGAATGTTCAGCATCATTACTCCAGTCTTCAGTGTCACATGATCATTCAGAAATCATACTAATATGCTGGTTTGATCCTAAAGATAAAGAACAGCATTAATTTGAAATATAACTATTTTATAACATTATACTGTACACGGCAGCACTGTCACTTTTGATCGATTTAATGCATCCTTGCTGAATAGAAAAAAATAAAATAGCTTACTGACCCCAGACTTTTGAAGGGTAGTAATGTTCCTGTGGCTCAGTGGTAGAGCATTGTGTCAATTCCCAGGGAGCACACATACTGTTAAAAAAATGTATAGCCTGAATGCACTGTAAGTCGCTTTGGATAAAAGCGTCTGCTAAATGCATAAATTTAATTTAATTTAATGTATATTTAAGCAGTGTATGTGGTTGCAAAAATCTTTTCTGATTTGTTTCTTAGACGATGGAGCCAGTGGACCAGCTTCTGCAGAGTGTGGATCCTGCCAAAGACAGAGAGCTCTGGGTAAAGGAACACAAGACGGGGGATCTGAGACCTGTGGACATGGACATCTAGACAAAACACACACACATTGTACTATATGAATCTACCTGCATGCCTGTCTACCTGAGTACTTCAGCCTCTCAGCCAAAGCCATACAGGTATCACCCCTTGAAGCACTGCTTGTTTTGTGGATTTCCACTGAAAATATTAGATAATTACAAAATTACACAAAGCTTTATAGAAGATTTTCTTAATGTCATGTGGAATGAGTGACGGAAAAGGACAGCAGCACAGCAGACGCATTATGATACTGAGTAGCCATCCATATAATCCTGCATGTGCTTTGAATAATATGCTACTTAAGACTTCCCGGTATGTCAATTACATTAACATGATTCAAGTAGTAAAGGCACCATTGATGTATAGATCTGAACAGAATACTGTACAGTAAAACACCTCTTTGTTCATTTGCCGCAGTGGACTCCTGTTAAACAAACTTAATCCAATCAGGTTTTTTTTAATCTTTTTGGTGTTGAAACAGTGTACACACATTGAACTACACAGCTAGTTTGCAGATCTTTATAGTTGCCTGGACTAAAGCGTGAGTCAAACGTTTGAACACATGTAAGCGGACAGCTTCAGGATGCCATAAAGGTGTTCAAAGACCTCAAAAATTATTCATCCTTAGCAGAAATAACCAGCATCAAAGTTACGGGGTGGGGTGGGTGGGGGGAGTTAAAGCATATCATCGTTTAGTAGTTATATTGTTAAATCTGTATTGTATTTAAAAAAAAAAAGTTTTGTTTTTGCAACAAGGAATGCAGTGGAAAGTTTTTAATGCTATTTTCACAAACTCCACATAAACTGCTGGTGAATCTACAGCCTTATGAGAGAGGGATCAGGTTGCATTGGTTAAGTATGGAATTTATATATTTTCATATATTTGCAGATTTATTTTACAGAAAAGCATGTTTTATCTAAATGTAGGACTAGTTGTGTATGGTTAATGGATGTGTAAGTTAAATGGTGGTGGTTAGTCCATTGATTGTGTTCATGAAAGATGTCAACAAGCCAGGACTTGATAGCAAAGTCATATAATTTTTTCCAGTTTAAGCCAAGAAATCCCCTTATGCAGCCAGATTTACCCTGTTGGCATCTAAATTTATTCTTAATGGTGAAATTATATGGTTCGGCTGTAGAATCCGGGTGTCAATCAAAGGTGGATCAGATGTGAATTCTAATGATTTGTGTTATAATGTACACCTTTTAGTGCCTAAAGGTTAATTGCCTTGGAATGTTCACAATCTATTGTGTTAAGTGTTTGTACATAATTGTAAACATGTGTGTGGCCTTTTTTTTTTTTGTCTGTATTTGTTGTCAGGCTCATCCTACATCATGCTCACCTCTCTGTAGTGTTTGTCATACTATGCTTTAAAAGATGTAAACATTTGACTGGATGCAACAGTTTTCTGCTGAATGCACATAGGCAGCTAATTATCACACTGTTCGAATCGCACAGCTCCAATAATGGAAGATAGATGAAACATTGCAATTTTCAAACTTTATACAGTAATATTGAGAAAATTGATATATTTATATAGCACAGGAAGTAAAAGCACACTTTGGGAAATGAAAATATCTGTGCTTTCATTCAAATTCCTATCAGATTTGTATTTATTTTTTTACTATCGGTCAATATAGGGAAAAAAACATTAGTGGTTAGAGTTAGATAAATACGTTGCACAATAAAATCAAGCATGGAATTAGTGTAAAAATAAATCTGCAAGTCGCAAATAACCTCATGCATGCCAGAAATACATGATTTGGATCATAAGTGCACAGCTGAGAACATTGTAAAATGCAAATTAACATGTCCTATAATGTGAAGGTAAATCTAAAATTTATAAGGAAAAATGCTGTACCATGAGAGGTAATGCATTCAGGTTATTATTTACTTTATCATTTGGAAGTTACTAACAGTCGCTCTCTTTTCACCTAACATGGGGTATGACTGGTTTACATTTGCTGTTTAGCATGTAACAAGTTTACTGTACTGCGTAGCCCAAGCTATTCTAGAACTACATGTTGCAGAAGTTGTATTGAAACTTGATGTCAATGGTGTGCATTGTGTATTCTGAAGAACCGTTCAGTTGAATGTCTGTGTTCCAAGCTAGATCTTTTATATATATATAATATTGTAAATGTTGATTTATTTGCTCTCAACTTAATAGTCTTCATTGATAATATTCATTTATCAACATGTTTATGAAGATATGATGTTTGTTGAATTTGACCAGGAAATTACTTCATTGTCTATAATATAATAATAATAAAGAGCTCTAATTGTTTATCACCATTGAGGTTTCTTATTTTTAGCAACATTAGCATGTAGTATTTAAGAATAAGAATTAAGAATACAAGCCAACTCCCAAATGGCTGTAAATGAAGAAAGATGTTTGTTTTTTTGCATGCAGAGTGTGTATAGCCTAACTTTTGCAGCTAACCAGACAAACATTGGACCCCTGCTTCAAAACAATGGCAAACTAAACCAAAAACCCATATTTCCATGAACAAGACTTCCATCAGGTCAATTTAATGCAACACTACTAAAAATAATGATCCTCTCAGGTGACCTTTTAGCCTCTGTTTTCAACTAAGTCAAAAGCAGCCATGCTGCAGAGCTTTGCCCATTGTTTTGCAGCTCACTGTCCTAGTGCTGAAACCAGGCCATGCATTAGCCTGAGCTAAAGATGGCTTTAAGAAAAGGAGGTGGTAAGCCCCTGTGTTTCAGGCTTGTCCTTAGAGCTTTGGTCATAAGCAGCGTCAACATGATAAAGATACACTCAGGGTGAGAGCCCTTTCTAGTATTCAAGTTTAGTAAGTCTAAACTTGATTAGAGACTCAAGACACTAATCTCACTCTGAACTCAATCAGTTAATTAAAGGTCCAGCTAAATATCCTTTTTGAGATAGCTTTGTTTTTGTGTGATAATATTGTGTACAAAAGTAGGTCAGTAACTTTCTGAAACAACAAGTGGTGGTTACATGATATTACCAGTTACTTGCATTGAAAATCAGCTCAAAAATATATTTATGTACAGTATATTGAAACTGAATAATTGAAAAAAAAGAACATGAATGACGTGTTGACATCTGTACATCAGGCTGCTAAATTAATATACAAATACGTGGACCGAAACCACACAGTCAGTCCTGACTGGCTTGTATATGGTTATTTCAATAGTACAACAGTCATGTTGTCGGGGTGGCACCGACCCCCACAGAAATCTGATTGCCCACCCCAGGTGCCCCGCTACCAGATATCTTGTGATTGGCTTGTTTTTTTTTAATTTCTCACTGAATCTGGCATGGGCAATATAGGTGGCTATACTCTTATATATACTTAATGTTAGGTAATTTCTCCTTAGCAGAAGTTATATGTCGAGTTATGTTAATAACAAGACCAGAAGGGCTTTTTTAATTCAGACAAAGAGCAGGCTTATCCCACTAAATGGAAGCAAGCTGATTATAGTCAGCCTTTTCTAGTTATTTTATTATTTAATACTTATTTGAGTTAAGTGCTTATTGTAAATATGCATTTATTAAATTATTTTATTTAGTGCATTTGTATTTTTGTTGTTTTTGTATATAGTTATACAATAAAAGTGTATCAACCAGTCCCGGTTTCCAGAAATAAATCACTGAGGTTGCTTCTGAAATTAGTGAGGGTGCTCTAGTCTTAATGCACATTTTCACATATTTTGTCCCATTATAGTTTTCACTATGTCAATCACTGCTATGTCGAGAGTGAATCCCGCATAAATATGCAGATGTAATTCCCAAAACTTTGCAACGAGTGTGGCCGAAAAACAAAAGTTCTGCATTTTGAATGGATTATAGAAAGCTCTCAAAGAGCGCTCTCTTCATAATCACTAAAAAGCCGTCACTCTTTGTTCATTGTGATCACACAAAGTTGTGTTATGATCAATGAATCTCTCTACACTGTGCAATCAATCTATCATATACATTGTGTATACACTCTATATGTTATAATTGTATAACTCCGCACGTTACAACAACTGGTGTGTGTTGTAGCCTTTAGGTATAAGGCAAAACCATATGTACTGTCATGAGGATGATGAAAGTGTTTTCATTTGAGTAAAGCTTTGAAGTCCCTTTAAGTATTTTCCTTCATTGAATATGTACAATTTCTCATGTGGTAACATGTAATTTATTTGATTTTATTCAACCCAAAATTATTAACCTAATCAACCTTCATTAGGTTACAGTGATAAAATGAAATGTAAGGGTTAGATCAGGTAGAAATAGCTCCCTAAGATAACATTTGCAGGTTTGCACTTCTTAATAGTGTACCATTGATTCTACAATGTTTTTTTTTTTCATTTGGAGGCAGTGCCCCAGCCTACCCATCCCCCTACCCCTCCCCCATTTAAAATGCTCTACACACGCCCCTGCTTAACCCTGAAGGGATCTAAAAGAGGAGAGCCACTGGACCCTGTGGATTTGTCTTACCCGACCTTCAGATTCTAAGAGGATTGAGCAGAGACTGTTAACACGAGCCTAATTCGATTGGACCTCTTATCGATTGGATTCTAAAAGCAATCGAAATAGCAGTGAGGCCCTTCAGGTAGCGGTGGTGATCCAGAGCACAAGTCTTGCATGTGTTATAAGAAAAGCTAGGTTAGTCTGGTTTATGGCTTTGAAGTGTGTATGAATAGAGTGTCTGAATGTCTCCAGTGTGTGGCCTGGAGAATCAGTCTGGGTCGTGTAGGTTTGGTGTCAAATTAATGGAAATCAAGCTCTGATCAGTCTCATGGGAATGTGGCCATTAATGCTTCTTCTCCTTGAGTTTTTCCTGAATCTTCTTTGGCTCATCGAACTGTATCAACCTCAAGATGTCTTTGTTTTCCATGACACCCTGAATGAATTCCCCCTCTCCAATCTTATCTATGAAGACAATAAGACATTGTGAGGATGTATTGATTACGAGAACACATCATGATTCATGTAGTCTGCAGCAATAGCACATTGTGTGATGAGTTATTACCATCTTCTTTCTTTCTGAAAAAAGTCCAGATTTTGTCAGCTCGCTTTTCTGGTGTGTTCTCATCTTCCGGAAGGTTTTTCTGGTCTTCGACAGGAATCATGTTGAATATTGACTGTTACCGGGAGAATGCAAAATATTACAATTCTGTCGCTTAACATAACACTAATGAATGACATATTGGAAACTACTGGCATCGGGCATGCTCAAGTGATTGAGACTTGTATTATCGGGTGGTGTAATCTATCCTGAGCTTCTTGAACCATCTGGTCACAAGTGTTGGACTAAATACTGCAATTTACCATGAGCAATGAATGCAAACAAACTCATTTAACGATCCCCAAGAACATCAGTCTTACACACTTTCCATACTCAATCAACAGCAAATGCAGGGTGTGCATTAAAAAGCCAATTATGAGCGATACTCACTCGTACGATCTCCTGCACCTCATTTTTACTGATGGTCCCATTGCCGTCTACATCATACAGAGCAAACGCCCATTCGAGTTTGCGCAGGGTCTTGCCGGACGAGGTAAGGTGCAGCGCCACAATGTACTCCTTAAAGTCCAAGGTGCCGTCGGCATTAGTGTCAAAGCTGCGGAAGACGTGCCGAGCGTAAGCAGTAGGGTCGGCATCTGGAAAGAAACTGGCATAGATGCCCTCAAACTGTTCCTTGGTGATGCGTCCGGACGGACACTCTTTGAGGAAGGTGGCGTACCATGCGCAGAGCTCTTCCTCCGTGTATTTGGTGTTCAGCTTCAGATCATCCAGAATCTCCTTGGACAAAGCACCGCTCTTGGTGTTCCCCATATTCCCAAGCTGTACACGGGTCAAAGGGGCAGATTTGCTGAGTTTCCTTCTGCTTTCACCCACCCTCCTCTCTTGCCTCCTCTCTTGTCTCACGCTCTCTCTGCTTTCGGTGTTTCTTTCTCCAACCAGACAATGGGATGGCGTTGTATTGAGTGCTGCTGTTGGCCCCTCTTTGGGCTTGGCTCCCCCTGACAACTCCTCTAAGTGCTGAATGGGATTACGTATATCTCTATTTAAATCCAGACAGGCTTTCTGAAAGATTAGTTAGTTACGTCACACTACTTCTGATGAGTGTTGCATTATGTTGATTTGCTCCTTCACAACAGGGTCTTACAATATGAGGATAGCAAACACAACTCTGCCCTTTGCTACTGAATGACCTGTGTCATCAATTGAGATGAGTAACGCGATTATCTCTAGAACAGTGGTTCCCATACCTGTCCTGGAGGACCCCCTGCCCAGCACCTTTTGTATGCCTCCCTTATCTAACACACCTGATTCCATTCAGTTTCCAATTGGAAATCAGTTCTAATCAGGTTGACTTCGAATTTTCAGATTCGATTCCGTTCAAAACCTGAGCTAGAATAATAATGATTAATTCCCTAAAAAAGTAATCTGACATTACATATGGTGGAGAATAGAAAGCTGGCAAATTCTACTAAAAAAATTAATGACACCAAGATATTATTGTGAATCTTGTCTATTTTTATCCGGAAGAATAGATTAGACACAGAGAAACAGAGTTTTGTGAGTTATTGTACCTGTTATTATAGCATGGCAGAGCGTGTTGAATGAATGAAGTGAAACTCGAGTTGTTGTTGTTTAAAGTTTAACTGCAGTAAAAACATTTAAGAATTGTCCACCGAGACAAAATAAGTCGCTCTAAGGGCGCACAAGAAAGAACGTTTACTTTCTTTAAAAAGGCCTTCAGAGCTTGATTTGTATAAGTGCGTGTTCCACTTCCAAATTCAACTCTGCTATTCATCTCCCCGATTTGAGAATATCAGATTAGCTAACTGATAGTCCTCTGCCATTTATTCACTAAATCTAGTGAACTTGAAAATGCAGTGCTCAGAGAGAGTGTCCGAACGTTATTTTTTTATGGGAGAATTGTGAAATCTTGATCAAGTGAAATTGGGGTTAAATCCATATGTGTTTTTGTCTGTATAAATATGTGCTGATATCCGCCGAGATATCAATGACAGTGAATTAATTGCAGTAAATCTGTAGATTAAATTACCTCACTCTAAACGAGTGGAGATTGTTACACAGCGCTATAAAGATAAGAATCTAAAGAGTGCTTTTTGGTTGTTCAGTGTGGAATGCGCCGCCATTCCACACGAAGAGCATAAACTGTGTATAGCCATAAGACTGTGTGTAGCACATGCCAGTTATTGCAGGATACGTAGCCATAGTAACAGCCGTAGCCCGGAAGTTCTAAGAAACTCTTTCAGGGGTAATTTTGAAGTCCGCCAGCGCCATTTTTGAGCTGTTTGTAAACAAATAGCCAAGCATGAGCTAAGCTAACTGAAGCTAATGAGTTTGCATTGAAGGCTAGCGGTTAGCACGTAAGCATTGTGTGGTCTCAAATGCAGAGTGTTGTGCAGTGTTTGAAGTGTTGAAGTGACTTGATCAGTTACATCTGAACGTTATCTTTCGCTATTTCATACTGATTTCATCCTACCTCTCTCTTCTTCTCCTCTCATTGAAAAGGAACATTCCCAAACGTGAACGTAATAATTGCATTCACAAAGATTGTGTACACAATCATAGTTGGGTTTTAATCACGTTTATTTAAGGTTCTCACTTGCTTAAAAGCTGTTGTTGTCTTTGTTTTAAAATGTAATCCTGGTCCTCAGCCTCATTACTTTAATGCTACGTTGTGATTAATTCAGCTATAACTGCTCTTATAATTTTAGGGACATCAGTAGATATTATTCATTTGCTATCCTTAAGGAGTTGAAATCGTTAATTTAACTTAATAATTAATTACAGATTTGAAATTTTAATTTAATTTCACAAATTAATTACAGTTCCGGCATCCACATAGCAACAATATCTACTGATTAATTTAATTATAAATTGCTCTTATTATCTAATGACAACAACATTAGAATTTTAAATCATTAACTATCAATAGGGCTCTGAAATTTTTAATTGCATTTGTAAGTAATTAGGGTGGTATGGATTAATTTAATTATAAATTGCTCTTATTATCTAATGACAACAACATTAGAATTTTAAATCATTAACTATCAATAGGGCTCTGAAATTTTTAATTGCATTTGTAAGTAATTAGGGTGGTATGGATTAATTTAATTATAAATTGCTCTTATTATCTAATGACAACAACATTAGAATTTTAAATCATTAACTATCAATAGGGCTCTGAAATTTTTAATTGCATTTGTAAGTAATTAGGGTGGTATGGATTAATTTAATTATAATTGCTCTTATGATTGTCATAACATCAGTAGGTAGTAACGACGTAGGGATTTTAAATTGTTAAGTTAACTTCATAATTAATTACAGGTTTGAAATTTTAATTTCATTTCAGAAATTAATTTCAGTTCCTGCTTCCACAGAGTAGCAATACTTATTGATGAAGTTGAATTGTAATTGCTATTATAATTTAATGACAACAGCATAAAAATTTTACTCATTAACTATCAATATTGCTCTGAAATCTTAATTTCAGTAAATAGTTAAATAGGGTTGGGTTTTCCTATTCAATGATAGTTAATTAATTTAATTATAATTTCTCTTATCTATTTTTAATAATGACGTCAGTAGATATTGTTAATTTACTATCCGTAGGGATTTGAAATTAAGTTAATTTCATAATCAATTACAGATTTGAAATTTTAATTTCATTTCAGAAATTAATTTCAGTTCCTGCTTCCACATGGCAACAATATTTACTGATGAATTTAATTATAGGTGCTATTATAATTTAAGGACAACAACATTAAAAGTTTAATCTTTAACTATCACCTCTAATTTGAAATTTTAATTTCCTTTGCAATTAAGTTCTGCTTTTACCTGCTAGTTTATAAGAGCACTGGCCCATCCAGTTAGTAAAATCCGAAAAGAAAATTAGGGTTTTCATCAATACTTAGGTCGGTTAGTCTCCTGTTACTAACAGAGCAAAACCAACCACTTAGGGGTATTGACCCAACAGCGCAACCCCTCTGTCAACCCTGCCATTTTTCCTAACATTCGAAGTAGCTTTTCTCTCCTTCTTCTTCTCTCTCTCAGCTGTCTTATTCAGATTTGACTGCTGCTGCTGTTTGCTGGGATTGTGCCTGTGAAAATCATAAAGCAGAGAACTTTAGCAATTGAACAGGTATTTGTAAAACTTGAGAATGCCGTTTCAAAATTGTCTTCCATTTACCCTTTTGTGAAAACCCTACCCAGCTAAGAGGACTGATAGGCGTCCGCCAAAATTTGAACAAGCATCTAGAAATGATCTAATTGGTGTGGTGTCAATCTTAACAGCTAAGAAACCAATACTGTCATTTTTATTGTTTTTCCTTCACCCGGAGGAATTTTAATAACAATCACAGTCCTGGTATTTAGAAATCCCCATTTCCAAAACACCGGTTTAGGAGCATCCTTCTAAATCAAACTTAACAAAAAAAGAAAAGAGAAGAAAAGTTAATTATACTCATTCTGCTACCAGAAAAGGGTGTTTTGTTGTTTTATCTTTCACTCTCATCTTACCATTAACTTTCTTTCCTTACAGAGATTTTCCTTATGGAAAAGGCAGTGATTTTCTCCACCTAAATTCCATTAGGTCGTAAATGTATCTGGTGTCAGGGTTGCCATGGTAACCAGGGGGGGCCTGGTGTCGTTGCCGACATCCTGGCATCCAGTTTATTTGGTGAGGGGACTGTGACGATTTGTTAATCTAATGAATAATTGATTTGTTAAAAATTAAATGAAAAATGGTGTGTCTGATTGGTCCAGACGCTACACTGGTGAGGGGCAGCTAGTGAGGTAGGGTGCTATGTTTTTGTGTTCGTGAACACAAAGAGAAAGTTTGAGTAACTTTGTTGAGGGGGCTGTAAGCAGGGGTCAGCTGATGACCGGGCTATACATGTGGTCAAACTATTACTCAAAGCACTGATGGTTCACGGGTTTGGTCACTATGACAAAACTGAAATAAAAAGGAAGAAGGAAGATTTTACCTATTTAAGTTTTTGGCTAAGCTAAGTTTTTACCTATTTAAGTTTTTGGATCTTTTTAAGAGATATGGCTAAGCAGGTGTCACTTGTGGGTGATGCTGTAATAGACTCATAAAGCTAGGGTTAGACCGTTAGCTAAACTAGCAGGGACACACCAAATACATCGTCAAAAAGAAAAAGAAACAATGGGAATTGTTCCTAGTTCTATCTTGGCCTACATTGTGTTGAACAGTAGCTGCCCTTCAATGTATTAGGCCTGGCACTGAGGAGTGAGGAGACGTAAATAGGAAACAGGGATTAGGCTACTAATAACCTGTATAACTCATTAAGGGAACAACAGTTGCTAGAACTACTGTAGTCCTACACAAAAAGATGGTGATGGTAAAATAACTAAAATAAGGTAAAAGTAAAACAAA